AGATATATCATATTATGATATGATAAAACATTTATCCATTCAAAGTTATTTAAAGTATATATTTTATCATTTTTTTTATTTCAAAATAATACGTTGAATAGAAAACTTACATGTAAACCATTGAATTCACAGTACTACAACCTCCAACGATCTTACCACGCGGAAAAGGTTTCGCTTTATTTAATACTTCTTTAGTAGGATCGATCGAGCTCGGCATTTTTTGATCTTCTGTGTGATATCCCCAATCTGCTTCACTCATTCGATAAACCTATTTATAATACATCGTCAATCTAAATACTTTGATAACATAATTAAATTGATAGTACTCACCGAAGCAAAAGTACAAGGTAAACGCATTATATTATTAACTTGTACATTTGGTGGACCGGCTTCCAATAGCAAAATATTAATATTGGGAACGTTGTAAATAAGTTCTCTTGCTAATACACATCCAGCGGTTCCAGCTCCAACGATAATAAAATCATAAACTTCATTGGCCTTGTTGAATGTCTGACGTTTATCGCGGCAATGAATACTCTGAGACCAAAGTTTACGAATTTCAGCATCTGCGTTTAATTCTTTTGCTAATTTCGAATCAATGGCCTCCGTAATTTTGTTGGAGGAATTCATATATATCTTTTTAAAAAATTTATCAAATTTTTTTTTTTTTTGAAAAATATTTTATTATTTAAAAAAATCGGCAAATTCCAGAAAAAAAAAAAACTATAATTTCAGTTATTGTAACAATCAAGCGAAAATTTTTTTCTCACCCCATTTTTAAATGGAGTTGGACTATCACAAAAAAACTTCTTGATTTGGATAAAATTTTGACGATCAAAAAAAAAAAAATATTTTTTTCTGCGAAATAACTAGTAAGCACATAAGATTGTTGAGTTTTGCTAGAAGCGAAATAAAATCGTATATCTTTCGATGATTAAAGTTGGACGCTGAATTCGTATTAAATAAAAAAGATGGAAGGATTTGATTTCAGATACCCACCACGTAATTTATAATTTTTTAAGTCTCTTTTAGATGACAGTGACGAATCAACTTTATTGCCAGAAATAATAGAAGTATAATTATAAATTGGTCTCATTTATTATTACTTATAAAACTAGTATTAGATCAACGAAATGATTACTGAATTTTTGAAAAATTGGTGGCCGCCGGGCGTGAATCTTGATTATGCAAAGAAGGATTGATCGAAGTAATTTTTTTTTCTACATCGTATTATATTGTTATTTTTGATAGATAAGATATTCATAATTATGATTCGGAAAGGGAAGATAATTACAAATACAATAATGAAATTTTTCTGTTATAATTCACACATTAATTGTTTAAAGGGCTCGTTAATAGTAAAACTGATGAAGGGAATAAATATCGGGAAGTTTGTCGTTAGTTGCTCTTAAATTAATATTTGCAACATAATAATGTGAATTTATTTATTTGACATGTTATTAAGATTATATCATTAGAATAATTAAATTTCATTATATTATATTAACAAGGAAATGCGCAGCGTTGTAAACCATGATTATTTATAACTGACGTTGTAAAATCTTTATTGAGACATAATTATCTTTTTTGGTATGCGCATTATTCACTCAAATAAATTCTCTGGCATATTAAGGGTTGAAAAAAAAAATAGAAAAATATTCATTACTATGGGGAAGACTTAAATATTAATTATGCCACTTAATCATAATGAGAAAATGTTGTCATATCTTTATTAAAAAGAATCACTCATTTTTTTCTAGATTTATTAAAAGTTTTATTAAAAGATCGTAATGTTTACATGTTTTATATGCAATTACCACATTTAAAAGAACGTAAAATGCTTGCGCTTGGCCAGTTATAGACCAAACTATAACCGTTTATCCTGAACACCACGTAGAGGTGGCAAGCTTTGTTCAGGTTAAAGAACGTTGAACCACCACATATCAAATGTGATAGATCACTTGAGGTGAAAAAAAGAAAGTGCAAACGAATATAATGGGGGTATAAATTTAAAAATATGAAATAAAATAAAATAAAAATTCACCTCAAAACATTATCGAAATACATATATGTAAATAATGCATTAATTTTTCTTTTTTTTTTTTTTTTTTAAGATAAATTATAAATTCTAAACTAAATAAAATACGGATGAAGTGGCCAAAAAAGGGAATATTGTAATTGCAAAAAGGAAAAACGAAACAACCAACTTCATTTAACAAATACGATACCTTTGTATCGTAGTCATGCTTATCGTAAGATAAACACCCTAGTGAAATTATTAAAAGGGAATTTTTTTTTTGATTTTTTTATTTTAATTTTTTTTTTTTTTTTTTATATTTTTTTAATTTTTTTTAATTTTTTTAATTTTTTTTAAATTTTTTTTAAGACATTTTTGAAACCTTTGTTAAATGCCGGCCAAGACGACGAAAAGCAAGAGGTGACCAGTTAAAAACGGAGGGGAAAAGGATAAAAACCATAATCAATGGCCACGTATATACCAGGAGGATCAAGATCCATTGGTTCGGGCCACTGGTTTTGGGGGGGAATAAATGGGGTTTCTACATAAATGCCAGGTGGATCAAGATCCATCGGCTCTGGCCACCTAAGAAGACGATAATGGACATAAGGGCGACTAAAAACGGGGAGGGTATAAGTGGGAGTAGAAGAAGTGGAAGAAGAATTGGAAGAAATGGAGGGAGTTGAAAAAGGGGAACTTAAAGAAGAAGTAAAGGAAGAAGAAGGAGATGGAGGAAAAGGGGGAGGAGAACGATATGAAGTGGTATTGGGGATAGCGAAAGGGTTAGGAGGAATAAAGGAAGGGGGAGAAGGAGGAAAATTCGGAAGGGTAGAAGAAATTGAGGAGGAGTGTGAAGGAGGAGTGGAAATAGGAGGGGGGATAGGAGTAGAAATGGGAGGAGGGACGTTTGAAGGGCCGGGAATGGGAGAAGAAGAGGGAGAAGGAGTAGGGGTAGGACTAAACTTAGGAATTGAAGAGGTAGGGGAAAGGTCGGGGGAGTGTGCAAAAAAACCTAAAGAGGGACTATTTACAGAAGAAGAAGAAGGAGAAGGAGAGGTAGAATAAACTGAAGAAAGAGGGGAGGAGGAAGAAGAAAAAACAGCTGGGGAAGAAGGGGGAAGGAAAGAAGGTACAGCTGTTGAAGGGATAGAAGTACAAGGAACTGAAGTGGGAATAGAAGTACAAGGAACTGAAGGAGGAACTGAAGAAAGGGAAGTTGAAGCTAAACGTCGCCTTGGCGCGACAATAGAACGATTAACACCCTGAACGCGCACCTGTCGTGTTCTTTGAGTCATCGTTTAAAAGATTCCTTGAAATAATAAAGTATAAGTTATTTTTTTGCTTTACTCCTTTTTAAAATTTTTTATTTTTAAATAAAATACAAAAACGATACCCACCAAAAAATAAAGAAAGTAAAGAAAGTTAGAATAAAGATGTAAGGAAGTTTGCGATCCTTTATTTATTTTCCAAGAAACAAAAGTTGGCCAATGAACAATCATCGCCGATCAATTACGTCATTCGTAAATAAAATGTAATTACTAAGTCGTCATTCATTTTAATTGGATATAATTTTAAAACGTGATTAAATTAATAATTTATTTATTTTATACTGTATATTCTAAAATTAAGTATCATTTATTGATTTTAAAAATTTAAAGGTTGACGTAAAAGAAAATTTACATATTAATGATTTAAATATATTAATAATAATAAAGAATACATTTATATTTATACAAATATTAATTTTAATAAAAGATGGTTGAATCCTAAATTTTCATTTATAATTATTCTTTTCTTCTTTTCACCATTTGTTAATTTTCTTAATAAATTATTCCTTTATTTTATGCTTAATGTTTCAAAGAATTTTTCAAAACCCTGAAGAACTGCTTTCGAATATATCTAAAATATTTTGCGCTATATCTTTCATTTCTAATTTGTTCATTAATCGTTATTTTAGGTATTACGGTAATATCATCATCATCATCATCATTCGAATCTATATCAATATCATCATCAAGGTTTTTTCAAACCATTTCGCAATCTAATCATCAGATTTTTCCCAATAAAAATCATTATTATTGCTTTCAATAGTATTATCCTTTTTAAACCAATTTATTAAAATATTGTTTCATTTAGTTTCGTTTCTAGTCAATTTATCATTTGCCTTGATCAAATCTCTAAACATGTAATCTTCTTCGAACACGCCAATAAAAGAATCTTCTAGATTCCTTCCATTCTAACGATTTTCTTATCGTTTCTTTGGATTTTATTCTTCCTGGTATATCATGTAAATCTGCAAATTGAATTGCTATTCGTGAATAAATCGTAATAATTCTTGTTCCCTTGCATCTTAGTTCTCGTTTTTTGAGATTCAGATATTTTCGGATCATTTAATGATTAAGATTACAGTACATCTTCATCTAACCTTTATATTGTCGCGAGCAATAATGGCTTTCTGAATTTAAATTCTACAATTCCTTCGGATTCAAGTACACCAGCTCTTGAATTTTGCATCGGCGTACATTTCCATTATATCATTGATCTATTACAACCAAAGCATCATCACGAAGTTCTCCATTAGGAACAATATATACAAATACAGTCTGCTTGTCGGTAAGTGCATCCACGATATAAAATCCATATTTTAGAATCTTTGAAACATGTCCCATTGTCCACCTGAAAATTAACAAAAATCACTAAGGGTAATTGTCCTCCTTTGTTAAAATCATTAATCGCTTGAGCAGTCTTATAAGCTGAATTAGGATACCGAATTCGTCCGGCTCCTATCATTGGCTTGCTGATGAGAATCTGCATTTACCGGATCAGCTGGAACTATGCTTTCGACAGTACGAGTTCCAACCGCTATAACACCCATTGGAATTCCACAAAAACGTGCAAGTCCAACTACAACAGTCCTCGACCATCCACTTAAAGTTTCAACAAAGCCTTGATCAAAGAATCTACTAACCCAACTGTTGAGAACTCTCTCAATCTCAAATAAGTAATTTTCCATCAATTAACCATCTTGGACCGTAAGGCCTTTTGGGAGGCATATAACTACATCATTGTCCCAAGCACCTAAGTTTATAAATATTGGTACAAGATTATTTTGAACGACTGTAACGTAAGAAAACCATTGCATAACCTTTGTAATACCCTCCAAATCATTTTGTGCAGTCCGATGTGAAACTCCATTCTTAAGCATAATTTGCGTGCCTTCAAGTTATAGATTATCTTTATAAACTTCTTTTCCCAACACATTATTCAATGCTGGTGCTCCGGTTAACATTATGGGTCGACCCATTTTGAATTTTACGCTGTCCCAACCTTACTAAGTAAGCTCCAATACCTTAATAAAAAGCATAACAAGGTTAAATTAAAGAAAAAAAATTTTTTAAATTAGACTTCAGTGAATACGTACCGACTGAACGACAAGTAACTAACGTTATTGTGAAAATGTCCCCATATGCTCACGATGTTATCCCTTCAAACATTCAACACCAAGCCCATCTTTTGATCCAATAATATAGGTGATTTTGTGTCGTGTTTCTCCTTCCTCAACAATTTCTTCCGCGATAACGAATTTCCTTCCATTTTGATATAATTGCTTATATGTCTCCTAAAAAAATTTTAATACATTGTCTTGAATTTCCTTATCTATACAAGCAACGATAAAATGATTAATAACTTCTTCCGTTAATCCAATTCTTGCACCAGAATTTGCCACTTCTTGTAAATTATTATTCCCGTCAGGCACAAGGTTCTTTGGCTTCCAAAACATCGCCAAGACTATGTTGAGATACGATGCATGATTCCATAGTATTCTAATAGCTTGACGAAATAATTCGGGAAAGTCGTAAGCGTAGGTGGTACCCATTAAATGAGCCTTATGGTTGAAGCCATCCTTGTTGGATAAGGTATGTGGGTTGATTCGATCAATTGATTTAAGAATCCAGCTTCCACGTTCTGTCTTCACCTCCTTGATAAGTTTGGAGACATATTAATGATAACACGTAAAGGATAACTTACTATTAAATAACTTGATCAATAGAATTGAACAAAAATCAAGTTTTGACGATTATAAAGAACACTTTTAATTATAGAAGAAGCAATTATTTTAATAAACACACATAATTTTTCTAAATCAACTTGAACAAATATATTTGGATGATTATTTTAACTGTATATAAAAAATTCGTTTTATCAACTATTAACGTTAAGAAATTTTTCACAAAAATAAATTACGAAATAGACGGTCAAAAAATTCTTTTAACCGGTTAAAAATTTATAGTGAAATTTTATAGCACGTGACTTTATATAAGGAAAATCGAAAATGATTCCAAAAGAGATTCAGCCTTATAATGATTGGGGTTACCAGCAATACCTATAATTTATTTTTTTTAATAATGAAATCACATCGATACAAAATTTACGGTTTATATGCACAGCATACATCACTGCTCTAAATAATTTATTCTTGAAAAATGATCGCATAAACTTCAGTGTATCAATTTTAATATTTAATTTCTAAAAAAATAATTATTTGTATTGCCGATAAACTTTAAATAAATCGAGGAGTTCATTTTGCTATAGAATAGAGCTGTTTTTAATGAGATTATATACAAATTATCGCAAAGCTCACAATAGAAAAAAAGAATAGAAATTGCTGAATTCTCAAATAATAAATAATATGATTAAGAATAACAATTTAAAAATAAATTCGACACTACACCTCGAAATAAAATAAAAAAAAGAAACTAAAATATTTACCTAAAAACATATATAGCAGACATCAATGATTAAAAATAATTATAAAATAAATTCGATCGCTGAGGAAATAAATTCCTACATCGATGGATGAATCATCATCGTCTACCTGCTTTTGAAGAATATGTAAATGTTTTTTTCTTTGAAAATAAATTTTTTTATGTAAATAAAATTTGATTTAAATTGTGATCAAAAAAAATCGTTACGACAAAAATAATATAGATTAATCGAAACTTGAGAAACGATTAATCGATTCTAAAATCGATTCTAATTTTTTGAATCGATTTCAATCCCTATAGCGTTAATGGATGTGAAGAATGTCCTAAAAGATAAATGCAGCGCTATTTGGTAAATTGTACACCTACAAAAAAATGCCGTCTTGTACACGCTTACCACGCAAAATCATTTAGAATTGAAAGTCAAAGAAATTGCATGTGAGGACTCCATCAAGTGCGATGATACACTACCTCATTATAGTCATATAATTATTGCCGGAGAGACGAACCGTGGAATAATCTTTTTAGATAGTTGTCGTGTTTTCTGTGTGATTATGAGCGTTTTAATATCATGAATATTATGGCCACTTTGGACTATCCTGGAGCGTAAAAACACTCGGAATATCAGTTGGGATGGTTGGTCGAGTCGAGAGTGGGTTTTTATATGAGTATATTGAGAAATGCATTGATTCCGGTCATTAAATTTCATGGCCATTCATTCTTGGTTGTTGTTTTGATGAGCGTCTTTATCTGTACTGTTAAAGCTATTTGCGTTAATTAAGTGAGGTTGGATTTTTTACATATAAATAAATATGTATTAAAACTTCGCTTGACACAACACTTTAATAAATATAACTCACGATCACTTACTTATTTACGTCAACCTTGAAATTCCCAGAGTGTTTTAGACCAAAACTTAAATTCCTTTCCTATAAGGTATTTTGTCTTCATTCTCAACAATCCGTTGTTATTCTAGTACACTTCCAAGAGATAGAATTGACCATTATATATTACGTTGTTATTATAAGTCCGGAGCGTAGCGAAGGACTATATACTTTTATGCTTTGTTAACAACGATTTCTGAACTCGTTCCCTAGTTCTTATATGAATCCTTTCAATAATAAAAATGGATTTTTCTTTATCATCGATCGTATTTTGAACGTTTCTTTATCTCGTCGTTTCGTCTGTGCCACCGTTGGATCGAGATGATGATTTAGATTTCTTATCACTCTGAAAATCGATGGAGCCCGTGATGCAGAAAATTGGATTTCTCGCTCGATCTTTTTTATTACAAAAATCAATCATATTTCACTAAGGATCCGTAATGCAAGAACCAAATTTAGGAAGAATTCATCTCTAGCTTCGTAGATCATAGACACAACCATTCTATCGTCATAAAAATTGGTACTTTAAGAAAATATTTTTCGCAGACCCTTTTGTGGGAAAACTTGCGAATGCCACTTGATGACGTATCTATTCGAATTTCGTAATTATTAGTCGCTTTTTATTATACAATTAACGGATTGAAAATATTAATAAGTTATTGAAAGAAAGTCCACGTCCCTATATATTTGTCAAACCTTTTCCACGGTTTACTAAGAAATATTAGGATTTTTTAAAAAAAGTTAAACCTGTAGCACAGAGCTTGCGATACGCTGAAAGGTATATATATCATCTACCTAAATTTCGTCTTGTACGCTAATGGCGGACGGTAAAAAAATCGGAGTAATAGTTACACCAAAATGGCGTTCTTTAAATAACGAAAATTAGAATACAATTAATTCATAATAATCCGAAATATACGAAATTCTCCATAGAGATTGAAACGGCAAAAAATCCTTAACCGGTAAAACAATTAAAAAATTCTTTAACTGGTTTGGATATTTAGCCGGTCCTAACCTCTCAGTTGAAGTGGATAAGAATTCAAGAATTTCTACTAAATGGCTAGGTTATATAGAAGAGCAGTGATAACAAAGTCACTATAACGGCGAGATTCCCTTTTGTGATATGGTAATTTTGACGAAATACAGTTTGCGAAAATGCCAGCAAGCTGTGGTTGATATACATTAAAGAATTACTAACAAGCAGTGATGCATTTTTTTATATCCAAAGCATTTTAAGATTGTCCCACATTTGGTCCCAATGTCCCAGAGCATGTTCTAACAATGTCTATAATAATAGACACCTGTGCAAGGCTGCCAACCTGACATTTTCTTTTTCAAAAGTACAAATAGCATTTCTCAAAGCATCAAGCAGTCTATACTTTGATCAGGATATGTTGGTATTTCGTTTGATGGAAGATATCAATCGCAAGATAAATATGGCGAGGTCATTTTGAAGTTGCCAATTTGGTTGTCTACTAGTGATCAATCCACTTTTCTAGCGAGAATATAAGCCTGGTTTACATCCAGTTAATTTCTGACAGTAATAGTTGCGAGATTTGACAGAAATTGTAAATGTAAGATTTACAGTGAGTCTTGATTTCACTTTGAGAAGATCTTCTTGAAAAGTATTATAGCCAAAGAATTTTATATACAGTATGACGTAAAGACAAATTCACAATTGTTTGATGCGGCGGTAAGCGTGCTTGAGGAGTGGTTAAATGACTGAAGATTTCATTTCAAGAAACGTAAACTAGGTGTCAAGATGTTCGTACGAGAAGCTTGAACATATTTTATTCTGACGATCTGTAAAGGTTGAAAGACAATTGGAGCGTTAGGATGTGTAAATATCTTATTTACTAAAAGCAAGCTTTTACCTTCTGAACCACAAATTTGCTTTATAAGATTCTTACCACCAGAATTTTGTTGGTTTTCCGTATATGTTACTTGGGGTTGGCCGGAAATAATGTCATTTTAAGGGGGAAAGTTAGTTAATTCTGGCCCTCCACTTAGTCTCTTTTTTATGGACTGATAACTCCATCGGTTGTCCAACTTCTGATACATGAATATATGATACTAGCAGTACGTAAATCTTTGAAGTTTCTGGGCATATAAAATTATTTAATAGCAGAAAATGTTGATAAAAACTAATTACTAATAACGCATCCATAATTTAAGAAGTTATAAACTATTTTACTTACAGGAAATCGGTTCTTTAGAAATACTGGAAACCTTCAATTCTCAGACCATTTTTATAAGTGTCGCTACTTCAAATTAACAATTTTCAACTAAAAATGAATAAAAATAAAGCACAAGGTTAATCATTATCACCTAACCTTGAAGATTAGATATCTCACGATAATGGTCGATACTATCATGGCTCGTTCGTGCCACGTCATCATATCCTGCACTAGGCGAACTAGTCACGGTTTTACGTACTAGGAATTTAAGCCTTAAAACCAACGGGGGCCCCTAGATCCCTGAGACAGAGGATGACGTGAGAACCGATCAGCGGTAGCCTGGACAGGTTCCTCCCAGAACCTAATTTGGTCTATGGCTTGGGACACTGATAATGCCACCAGGGAGTACCGAATCAAAGCCCGAGGGACTACCGACATGCACTAAGTATTACGTTTAGTCTTCAACATGGAACGCTCTATAACTTAAATATATCCGACGTTTCTTAATATATCTACATACATCAAAAGACTTTCCTCGCCTTCATATATCATAATTTTCCTTTTATGATAAAAATAATTAATAAGAATATGACGCCTATTAGAGATAAAGAGCAGCTTATTTATTCCATGACTCTAAAGTGAAAGTTACAACTTACTGTCCAAAACTAAAATCAAGTGTCAGGTGCGTAACACGTCTTTCATAAATGGGTAAAGAAGTTGAATAGTTTTGTTGGTTGGTAAATAAAAAGTTAAAAAATTCACAAACGGTTACTTCTTCACAGTTACGCTTTCATTTTTTTAAAAAAAAAAATAAGTTTAAGAAAGTTTTTACCGGTTAGGGTTATAAAGTATATGTGATGTGATCATCTGAAATAAAATTGATAATCAAATTGTGTAAGCGATAACACATAACTTGTTGAAATTTTGTGTCACGCTCTCTGTTAAAATATAATAAGTATAAAATATACAAGTAGCAAATCAAAATACAAATATAATAAAATTTTCTTGTTTTTTATTATAGTGAATTAAGTATTTTTGTGCATCGCTACAGATTTCACAAGTGACAATTAATTTATTCTAAAGATTAATATTATCATTTCTTAATTACCAAGAACAGAAAATTTACAAGAACTCCCCAGCTGAGGGTACTGAAGATTGGTGAACTCTCTAAAGTAGTACCGGTTCTCAAGTAAAAAAAAAAAAAAATAGAGTTATCACAAAGTATAAAACCATTAATATATAACTCTATACTCAGTAATATTTTAAATCTTTCGAGAGATATTCATTGAACATTATAAATATCTTTTTATGTCAGACTAAGAAATCAACAATTACTTATCTTTTTTAAAAAAAAAATTTAGAAATATAATAAGGATGTTACATAAACATCCTAGACTTCATATGAGAACATAAATTGACTGTTGTTTTAATAGATCCTCGATCAATTTCATAAATGAAAGTACCTTGTTAAATAAAATTTAATACAATTTATTAAGTATTTACGAAAAATATAATTAAACAACATTAACTCTTGGTCTCCATAGTTTCTTCGTAGCTTACGTAAAATGTCCGCCCTTTACAAAAAAATTATGAAAAACAAAATACGGATAAATTTTTTTACAGGGATATAATTTAAACACGTATAATTATTTATTAAAATGGAAATAACTACGTTTAACCAGCAGGGAAATCACCGGTCTATCACGTGACGTAATTTACGTCGACATGTAATTTTTATTATATCATAAATCAGAATAATAAGTACTTTTTTTTTTGGATTGTTCAACGATCTGCATTTTTTCAAATCTTCCCGTAATGGAAACGATTGACCATATTCACTTTTTTTTGTTCAAAATGAAAATAGAATCGTAGATATTAATAAATCAACTAACAAAGAAAATATACCTGATCCGGGACTGGAAGGTCACCTTTTTTCATACAGATCACATGGCCAAGATGATACAAGCCATCGTTTTGAATTTGATATGGATTCATCGGATGAAGAATGCAATAATTCTTCTCTTAAAATTAATGTAGGACAAACCTTTCACACATGGGAGGACGCAGAAAAATTTCTAAATGAATATGGATTGGAAAAAGGGTTTAGTATTCGAAGAAGACGTACTGAAAGTCAAATTTCGGATAATGGTAATAAAATGATACAAAGAGTTGGCTGGGAGTGTGGTAATGCAGGTAAGTATCAAGCAAAAAAAGTGTTAAATCCGAATGATCAATTAAATCGACAATCCAAAGCAACAGAAATTTTTCAAAAACTACATTGATGATTTCTTTTACTACTGTGTTTGATGAACACAATCATACAATGATACCTTCACCTTCGGCTAATATTGCTAAATATCGTAAACTTGGTGAAGATATGATTCAATTTATTAAATTTTGTGTAGATGGTATAACAAGTGCACAAAATATTGGTCGTCTTTTGAGAGGAAAATTTCCTGGAAGAAAGATTCATCAGAAAAATCTTTATAATGCTATTCAAGCTGCAAAAAAGAAACTAGTAACAAGGGTCAAATTTGATGCATCAGACCTTATAAAACATTTGTATTCACAATGAGCAAATGATCTGTGATGGTTTATTGAAGCAAGATTCGATAAAATTGAGTATCGATCATGTGGATTAATATGGTTATTATCTGAACAGCAGTTTTTATGGACTGATATTATGATGTAATATTTTTGATACTACATCCTGTACAAACAAATATAATATGGTAGCTTGCTTCTTTGCTATAATTGACAATTGCAATTGAACACGACTTGTTGCAACTGTTTTACTTGAAGATGAAACAGAGGATAGTTTTATTTGGGCATTAAAAATGATCAAAAGGGAACAGGAAATTTAATACCAAGAGTTGTATTCACTGATTTTGATCCAGCAATGGCTAATGCAATATCTTTAGAATTTTCAGATTTTATTCATTGTTTATGTTTGTTTTATATTGATTTTAATCTAAAAAAAACCTTCGAAACAAATTGAGTTCAAATGAATTCAAAAAGTTTTGTGAGGACTTTTTTGAATGTAGGAATACATTGGTTTTGTAATATTTTGAACATCATTGAGAAAGTTTAAAATCAAAATATACATCAGCAAATAGTTATATTAAGCGACAGTTGGATCCTTTTAAACACAAATGGGCTGTATGCTATACAAATAATCAATTTACAGCAGGTGCAAATAGTTCTCAACGAGTAGAAAGTCTTAATTGAAAAATTCATGATTGCATTAAATAAAATTCATCACTTTTAACTAATAGTTTAAAATTATAGTATTCTCAATAATAACAAATAAGAATAGTTCTAGAAGTACTTAATAAGGAACCGAAATATGCAAGGGTAGAGGAATATAAAGATCAAATCCAACAGTTGGCCTTACAACTGTTTCTAAAACTTATTTTAATTCAATTAAAAAGATTGTTTCACAATACCTTATACTAATAATAGTATTTGCTATTTGTAAATAAATGCAAGAATGTTTTTATTATGATTGTTTTAAAATTAATATAACAACTATCAATTCTATAATCCAAGTAAGTTATTTATTATGATGTTTAGTTGATAATACTTTACTTATATAAATTTGCTTATATTTATTTAATAGGAACAAGCAAATATTGATTATAATGAAGAAATTCAGAAGGATAATTATGAAGTTATCAAGATTCATATTGCTGATATTATATTAACATTTGGAAAAGAATAAATTCAAGAGATTTGAAGATTGGTTATATCTTGTGAAACTAAGAATCATTATGTTATATTATTGGCAGATAGATCACATCGTTATATATATAATCTGCTTATAACTCATAAATATTCATATCGGCATTTCTATAAAATCTTAAAATGTTCTACTCAAACTAAATGGTATATAGACTTATTGTAACACGCTGGTATAAGGATGATATTATTAAAAAAAATACTGATATTTGACAACAATCTTCTATTAGTTTGTGTATAATATCAGCTCAAAATCAGATAATAATGATAATCTGATATATAAGTTTGATTATATCAAGCAAATCTGAGGTTCTAAGGTTTATAATCCAATATTACAAGAAATTAATAGTACTCAACAGAATTATGATCGAGCTCAAGGTTTAATCCAAAAATCAATTAATATAGCAATTGCTGTTAATTCTTATGATAAATTTATAGGTATTTGTCATGGATTTATATTGGATAAGCAAAGGAATCAAAAATTAAAAATAGAAATAGAAGATGTTGCTAATATTAAGAATCCTATAATTACTACATGAAAAGAAAGACCGTCTGGAAGAGCTAAGAGTATTGTTGAAATACAAGATCTACATGTTAGGAAAAAGCGTCATTTATTAAAATCTAATGAATCTGATAATGCAAATGATAGTGTCAAGAAAATTGATAAGAAAAAACATGTCAAAACTGTAGAAATAAATGACATAATAAGGTAATATGCATGCAAAATTAATAAGGATTAATTTAATATTGTGAAGTTGTTTTATTATTCAATGTATATGCTGTTGATATTTATGTTATATATATTAGCTGTATTACCAATAAAAATTATATTGCTTTATTATTGGAAAGGACTTTATTATAATATTTCGGTTGGTTATTTTATTGTAATGCTATTCTAATCATTTTATTTTTTATAAATTAGGGTCAAAAAATTAGGGTTAGTGGATAAGGTTAGTAATTAGATTCAGGATTAGGGTTAGGAATTATTATTCAGGATTAGGCTTAGAGTTAGGATTAGTAATTAGGGTTCGGGATTAAGGTTAGGGATTATAATTCAGTAGAGCTTCGAACAGGTCAAGTCAGATCGGATAATTCACTTGACCTGATCTGATAAGGTCATGTCAGATCAGACATAAAATTGACCTAAATTAAATATGCATTTGATCTGACCTGACCTGACCTGATTTGTCTAAAAAAGAAAACTAAACAATTATTAATTTTGTTTAATATTTTTTAAAAAAAATATAAAAAAATATTGACACATTTTTACATTTGATTATTTTTCAAAAAAAAAAATACTAATATAATTATTTTAACTGCAGAATTTAAAAATTACAAGTTGCGATAAATCCGCAAATCTGGTGACTGCTAATTCAATTACAAAAAATGTTCATAACTTTACAACTATTAATCCAATCATAATAAAATTTTATATGCACATATTTTCAAACCTACTAAAAAACTTTACATACGCGACTAAAGTTAGTTTTCTTTGACCAAAATGCTTAAATTACTGTTTGAATTCACTAAATGAATAAAAAAAAATAAAAATATTTTGTGAAATAATACAATCACAAAAAACATTCATAATTTTATAACTATTAATCCAATCATAATAAAAATTTATATACACATATTTTCGAACCCGCTAAGCAACTTTACTTACATAATAAAAGTTGATTTCTTTGATCAAATTGCTCAAGTATCTCTTTTAAGTAATTGAACAGATAAAAAAAAATTAAAATTAAATTGTTAAACAATGTAATTGCAAAAATGTTTATAATTTAAAATTTAACTTTTTGATTATAATAAATTACAAAGTAATTATACAAACAACTTTATTAGAATATAAAAAGAAAGTATATTAAATAAAATTAAAGATGTTTTAAAAAAAAAATAGACAAAAAAAAAATTTTTTTTTTAAATATTTTATTTCATTTAATTTGATTGGTTGACCTGAATTTTATCAGGTCGGATCATAAGCTTGATCCGACCTGATGTTGACCTGAAAATTTGTCTACCTAACCTGAATTTTTCAGGTCTGGTTAGGTCATGTCACAGGTTGATCTGACCTGATTCGGAGCTCTAGCTCAGAGCCTCATTTTTCTAGCAAACCTTTCATATGCTATAAAGGATTGAGAAGCAATGCTAGAGACCAAGCGCAATATGGAATGGATGCAGTTTTAGTTTGATATACTGGGATTTAAAAACATAAATCTGAAGGAATTGAAAAAAAATCAGCATGTTTTTTTCCGTTTCATACTGAAAACTTTGGAGATGAAGGCTGACAAATCATAATAGAGATATCTATCACATTCGATAAAAAGAGTTTTCAGATCATGTTCAAGTGTAGGTATGAAATGCATTACATGTATTTGGTTAGATTCAATTTTCAAAATTTGGCCAACAAATGGTTTGTTATCTTCAAAGTACTACCAAACTGCGTCAAGAATAAAAGAAGTCTTACCTTCTTATATATTCAAAGTGAGAAAAAAAATCTAGATAGATATCTAGTTCTTCTTTTGCTTTTTCTTTAGATAAAACTGTAATAAAAGAATAGTACTTTAGCTGAAGGTATTATGTATAAAATAGCTTATTCATATACTGTATATACATGATTCCAGAAGGATCCAACGAATATTTTAATAAATTTTTATTAATAAAAAAATGTGAGGTCTCATAGACAAGCTTTTACAAAAAAATATTATTATTCATTATTTAAATATAATGTGAGGGTATGGGGTTATAGAAATATCACTAACATTTTTTATCTTTAGGTACAATCATATATTTGAATCTTAACATTTTTTTTTAGAAATAGGAGTATGGGTATATTATTATTTTCATATAAAACGCTTTTAACAAATTATTTCAGATCTGTATTTCAACACAAGTTCTCTTTTCTAATTATAACTAGCATTAATAGGTATTAAAATGTATAAAAGAATGTAGATTTATCTTAGCTTCACTAGTGATAAATCATACTAATATATCATAAAAAATCACATATAACTATCTGTGATCTAAACATATCTGAACAATTTTTTTACTTCGCTCTGAAATTATGTTTATACTCGCCTTGCAAAACAGCGTCTTGTGGCCTAGCTTTGAAGATTTCACACTTTTTATTCTTAGCGCATTTTTCTTGATTTATATTATCAGAAACTAATTCTTCAATAATCTTCCTACACATGATGGAAGTATTACAAAAAAACCTTTATTGAAATGATCAATGAGCTCTCTGCATATGATATTAAAATCACCAATGAAATTATCTCACGTGTATCTGAAATTAAGGCTTCTCTCACTACAGAGCTTAGCAGAATCAATAATGAAGCTGATGCGTAGTTTAGTAGAATCAACAATAAACTTAATAAGACTCTTAATAAAGAAGTTAATGCTGGGTTGGCAGAATCATGATGCTGGCTACGTATCTGAGATGCAGAAAATTTTATCGATAGTCAATAATATGACCACAAGACTTGATAATATCTGCTGTAATAATTTTGGCAACATTTCATACTTCAGGTCGATTTTGATCAGTTGAGTGTAATCAGCCAATCTGAAGCTTCGAATCGATCACATGAGAGCTGGGTTATTATGGATTATGCATTTGAAACTGGAAAGAAATTGGAAAAAACTTTTATTATGGTGTAGGAGAAGGTTGAAGCTAACTACTATTTTTTTTTCTAACTTCTGAAGTTTTTGTAACCAATTATGCAAATCAATCGGGACTGGAAAAATTAACTTATGTGTAATACAATAATTTGCTGAGATAGGCATTGCAATAGTGTAATACAATAAACACCATCACATTGTTCTTCTTTATAAATATCATATTGTGCATAGGAAAAAAAAATTCTTCATATTTTTGGTTGATTGGCTTTTTTATTTAATAAATTTTTTTTTTGTGATTATCAAACATGTCTAACGTTGATAACTAATCCCCAAGTTCTATAGTAACAATATGGGTCTTACTTGAAGGGAAAAAAAGTGCAGTAGAAGTTGACCTTGATCAGACAAATTATATTACATATAGTCTTAATTTGGACTGCCTTAAGCCTATTCTCAAAGAGGAATTTAATGAACTTTGAAATGTTGAGCGAAGCGACATTGAATTTTTTTTCTATGATGATCATAATACACTCACACCTTTTCTATCAGATGCTCCTCTCACATCCCTAACTACTACTGCATCAAAACCACTTATTGTACAGTATCTATTGTCAAACGCCAGCAGTAAGTACACATCTTGTAATTCAATTTACTTACATACATAACCTTATTAGTCTTTCTGTTTACAGTTATAGTAAATATAAGTTTTTACAAAATTCGGATAAATATACAATGCCACATTCTAGTGGCTCTTGGATTTTGCTTCGGGAAGCTATTCAAAAAAGCTTCGAGAAGTTAGAAACCAGCGATTTTTATTTTGTTGCTAAAACAAATTCAGAGGAAGACAAAATTGAGGACGAATTCAAGTGCAATAAATTAGTAAATAATTCTGATTGAAATGATCGAGGTGAATATTCTCTTGACCTTAAAATACAAATAAAGGGTAAAAAAGCATATGGAGATTGGACCTTCAAGGAGGTTTTCAAGGGTATATATAATAATACTTTCAATTCTATCAGTTTAATGCCAACATTCGAAATAGAAGAAGGTTTCAAATTAAACCCCCCATTTAATGAAGATGATTTAAAACATTTTGAAAAAAACCCTTCAGAAGAAAATGAACATTTTTCACAATAATGTTATGACAAATGAGGTAACGGCATGGGAATTCATTCCAGTCTTCCTTTGTATAGCAGTTGATCACATACGCACAAACAATGATTCATCAACGTGATTAATAGTAGAAGTTAAACTCGATGGAAACTGTGGGTATAGTGTTTTAGATTATGATGTCTATATGCAAAAAATTACTGTTTTAGTGACAGAAGCTAAACCACATGAAAGTGAAAAGGCTGTTATACAAACTCTAGTACAAATTCATAGTGTTACAGAATTATTACTGAGCAAGCGAAAATGATCTGAAACAGATCCTGAACAAACAATGTTTGGTATCGTGACAATAGGTCATTTTTGGCATTTCATCCGATAGAATAGGACATTAAAATCCCTAAAAGCAGAGATAAGTCAAAAATACACTTGTATTTATAAAGATGATATGAAAGAAGAAAATCGAGTGGTCTCTCACATTGTGCAAATTCTACAAGCACAAGCTAAATTATTGAAAAAGAAGGAACCATGTTCAAAACGATTATGCACTAATAATAAGTTAAAATAGTTTAGTTTAATATTTTTTTCATACGTAGCATCAAAATTCTACTATTAATATTAGTGTACCAAATATTATATATTTTTAGTATGACTAATAAAAAAAAGTCTTGAAAACATCGATCAATTTTATTGCGTAATGTTGAGTATTTCAGTGATAAACTACTAATATTTACATTGACATATATATCTTGCCTTTCAGCTGAAATATTCAGGGTTAGTATAAATCTCGATTTTCATTTCTAATCATTATGGGGACTAATCAAGGATAAGGGTTGGACTCTTTAATCTTTATTGTTACCATTCTGCAATTACATATTAATGTCTTTTTTTCAGGGATCCTAAAATGCATCCAAGGTGTAGACTTTTATCCTAGACTCCTATATAAATACGTGATAAATACAGTTGCGATGCAAGATAAGACAGAACAGGATAATTTGCCCCCCTTTTTTTTAGTTATTCTATTAATCGATCGGGACCTTATGTGATCGCAAAGATTCTGAATTCGATTCTTAGACTATAGATATTTACCACAAAATATATAAAATAATTTGGGTTAGATTAGTGATTTATTTTTATCCATATTGCTCAAGTGAATTAACTAAGACGAAATGTAGTCATAATCACATGCCTCATAACCAACAAATGCACATTTATCAGATAAATACTTTCCGAATTTGCCTCATCATATTTCTGTAATAAATGTATTTCTTTTTCATCAATCTGATGATCAAATTTGCCTTTCAGTTGAATTTTAGGGATGATAGGTCATTATTAATTTAATCTAACCAAAAAATAAGTATAAGCAGTGTATAAAATTCACGTGCACAATGTGCACGTGTGCACATGATTTTTTGATGTGCACAATTTTTTAAAATTTAATGTGCACTTTGTGCACAAAAAATTTTTTATATAGTGCACAATGTGC